TTTACAGTAAAAAAAGAAAAGTGAGGCTCAGGAAAAGTCAGACCTTGGCCAAGCCCTACGGAACTAGGGCTAGAACTCTCTTCAGTCTGGGTTGCAATCCCTTTGCCTTTCTGATTTACCATGCTGCCTCCCTCCCAGCCTGCCCTGTTGGTGCCCCTCATGCCCCATGGAAGCATCACCATCCCCTGCTCCTGGGGCCTCACCTCCTGGACTGAGCCCTGCCTAGAGCCCTGAAGCTGCGGAAGGAGGGAGCGAGGGGGAGTTCCCAGCCTGGAGCCATCCATCTGCTGACTGGTGACACCGACACCAGGGCCCCAGCAGAATAGCAAGCTTGTTCCCTCTTGTCTGGCTGTTAGTGGTGATGTATGAATAAGCAAAGAAGACAGCTTCATTTTCATAAGTTAACTTGTGCCTGGAGTAAGGAAGACGGGGAACAGCACACTTAATCATAACCACAGGGCTGCACAGAAAACAATGACAAAGCCTTTTCTGTTAGTCCCGGTGTTTTATTATAATAACTCCTAAGAAGACGCAACAGTGCGGGGTGCTGAGGGAGGCCTCACACCAGCAGCCCGTGTCCTCCCCCCCTCCGCCCCCCGCAAAGAGGAGTCCCCTGAGACTTGACCTCTTAATGGGATGGCAGGCCTCGTGGGCTCGCATCATCCAGGCTAAAGCTTTAGACATTGACTGCTGGGGACCAGATGCCGCCTGGCTGATGAGCTGGGATTGGCAGAGCTGGAAAGGATGACTGTCACCAGGGAGCGGCAGGGCCTCTGCCGAGGAGGGTGACGTGAGGCAGCACCGTTCTTGGGGAAGCCTGGGAGTGTGGAGGGCTGTGTGGACCGGGCAGGTGGAGCCCATCGTTGTGCAGCTGGTGACCCCGGGGAGGCGCCCAGCCCGCATCCCCCACCGTCCGCCACAGAATCGATGACTCCCTGCCCTCCGTTCCTCCCGCTTATCAGCGTTTCTCCTGCCGCGAGTGCCATGCTGCTTCCTAATTGTTTATCTGCCTCCTCTTCTAGCTGCCTCTAGGGTAACGACCAAGTTTAATTTGTCTTTGATTCCTTAGTCTGTTGTGTGGTCTCTGACACAGCAAACCCTTAGCTGATATAAAACTAAAGCAACGTCTAGGCAGAATAAGGCCCAGGTCAGCTAAGGAAGGAGCAGGGGAGATGGCTGAAGCTGCCAGATGGGACAGAGAAGGACCAGGGAATCCTGGGTGTCAGGATAAGAGCAAATACCTACTGAACATTTTACTGGTTTTCCAGGCATCATTAGTGGTAACATTTGGGGAAGCAAAAAACACAAAATCACCTTGTGCCTCAAGAGGAAAAAAAAAGAATTAACTTCCCTTTATAAGTGAAGGAAGTAACAGCACTGAGAGGTTAGGTAACTCGTTTGGGGTTCTTAGTGGAGGAGCCAGGATTTGAACCTGGGCAGTCTGGCTCTGGCATTCCTTTTCTTCATCACTTCTCTGTCCTCAAGAACCATAACACTGGAGGCTGCACTGAATTCGGCTGGTCTGTGGGCAAGATATAGATGCCATAAGAGCTTATCGTGTGCTAGGGACCCCACAAGCGAGCCTCACCCCCCCAACTAAAGCAGGGACAGAGCTTCCAGACCTGGGTCAATAATTCTCCGACTTCAACGTGCTTTCCAATTACCTGGTTCTTTTGTGATGCAGATGACTAGACCCAATGGCTGGAATTCTGTTTGGCGTGCCAGGGGCTGGAAGGTATGGAGTGCTATATAAGCGAGAGCTATTTTTAACTAGCATCATCCAGGCCCACCTGGAAGCTTTGGAAAGAGCATTTTGCTCCCCCCTTGTTCACCAAGATCGACACCTCCTCCCACTCAGCTCTGTCTGGCAAGTCTGGTGTCTTCCTCACACGTACGGGAAACTGCAGAGGTGGGGTGACAGCGCCCAGACACACCGCTAGGCCCACTGCTCTGCTGAAGGCTTGAACTCAAGGTCTCGGTCTCCAGAGGTGGAGTGATATGCATGGTGAACCTCAAGTCATGTTCTCCAAATTCGCCTGCTCTCAATTTGCACCTGGACTGCATTGCTCACGATGGTTGCAAACAACTCTTCTACACACACCAGCCCTCTTTAAGGTTTAAAAAAGAAAAAAAAAAATCCTTCATTAGCAACAGGATAGCGGTAATTTTAATATCCATTGGTTGAGAAAATGCAAAATAATAAACAGCTCCTAAGCCTTTGTTTTGCTTTTTTTAGACGGATCCATTAGCTGCTCTGTCGATGATTAAAATGGTAGCTGGGTTTTGCAAGTGGGCTTGTGAAGACCCTGACCCGTTGGGTGCGTCAGGGGCTGGAATGTATCGAGTGCTGTGTGAGAGCTGTTTTTAACTAGCATCATCCAGGCTCTCCTGGAAGCTTCGGAAAGAGAGCAAGCCCACCCATGAGGGTTTCTTTGGACATCATCTAGCACAGCAGTTCGGTCCTTCTAGAACTTTATCGAACGGTGGTCGGGGTTTTGGCATAATGAATATCTACACTAAGTCCTTTAACTTGCAACAATAAGGTGACATTTTGCTCTCACCTTTTTTTTTACCCCAAAATTGGTTCAGTATCTAGGAATGTGGGGTTCATATCCTCTATTAATTCTCTCATTCCTCAACACTTTAAATAAGAATTCTGGGAGAATGTGTGGGTCTTGGTGAATGAGGGGAAGGCAAAATGCTCTGCAGCTTTGAAAATGTGGGGATACTAATACACTAACATCAGGAGAGTTTTACTTAGCAAAATTTTATCAGCGCCCATTAGCGTGTTGGACACTACCCAGTCCTTGCCCTTGGACTGATGGAGGAGTGGATATTTACACATGAGGTGTGAATGTGCCTGCATGTCACCCATCTGTCCTTGACAGGGCATAAGTCAAAAAGTGCTGGAAATGCTAGGTAGAGCTGTCTCCCACCTGAGGGGCGAGCCAAGGGAAGGGTTCACACTCGGGGTGTTCATAGCTGGCTTCAGGCTGGAGACGCTCTGGAAGGGATTCCAGGCAGGGGTTGGCCGAGGGTAAGGACATTTCTCATCAAGCAAGAGCCATATGAGCAGGAGCCAGAAGGGAGAATGCAAGCAACAAAACTGTACATTTCCATGTGATAGGAATGAAGTGTGGCTACGTAGAGACAGCTTCTGAGGAAGTAGATCGGAGCCAAACACAATGCATGGAATGACAGAGCACAGAATTTGGATTTAAAGGTAGCTGAAGATGACCTTACCTGAAACTCAGGTGGCCACCCTAAATTCAGTGAAAGAGCATTCCCCTTTTGTCATTTCTGAGCACGTGACGCCCTTCATTATACTGAACCTGGGGTCATTGGTAACTGTGAATCAGCTGCCCCAAGGACTCTGCAGCCCCTCGGCCCCACCCCCCAACCCCCATGCGAGGTCATCACGTGAGCTCTCGAATGAGGTCCCAGCATCTGGACGCAGCACACAGCTTTCTCAGCAGAGGACGACTTGCCTTTCAGATTTCAGCTTTTAGTTTTATATGAGCATCCCAAGCTTGTTGCGGGTAGAATTGATCAGCTCCTGCCCTTCCTGAATTGGTGATGGGTTTTTCTGAGGGATTCTACAAGTTTTGGATGTGATCATATACAATGACAAAGTGGGTGGTAGTATTTTTCCCATGCCTCTAATTTATATATTTGTGCTGGGGTGATGATTTAGATAGGAGCTCAATAAAATGATCAAATAAATTACACCGAACCCACACACCATCATTTCAGGGGGCTGTCATCACACCAAGGAGGTTCTGTATCACGCAGCGTGGTGTACTGGGAGAACCACTGTGTTTTTCTTAACATGTTGCTGGGCTTTCCTTTGGTCAGAAAGGTCTGTATTTCTCAGATTAGCCAATAAAATAAAGATTTTAGCCCCAGAAGGCATCGGTTAGCTGAGGAAGACAGTGATTATGAGTCATGGGACCCTTAGCAAGTTAAACTGTCCACGCCTCAGTTTCTTTGCCTATAACATGTGGGTTTTTAATTCCTGCCTGCAACACTTGTTGTAAAGGTAAGCAAGACTGCACTGAGACAGTGGGAGGAATCTGGGCATCAGACAAATACTGAATTATGTGTCCGCTCCACCATAGTTGTGCATATCACAGTCCTGGTGAACCTCAGTTTCCTGGTCTATAAAATAGCTGATAGTAGGTCCAAGGGAATATCTGCTGCAAGTGGCGTGATAGGGTTGTCTCGTGGAGGGTAGAGGGATCTGATGCCCTGCTTGCCCCCCCGTAGAAGGCCTGGAGTCCCAGGAATGGGATGCTCTAAGAACTGGAGAGGAGTGACCGACTCACCTAAGATGCTGAGTTACTAAGAGGACTGGCTCACCTCTGCTTGTTGGCCCTGGTGCACCAGACACGGGGCCAACATCAGAGCCTAGCGCTGGGGCAGAGAAGCAATTGCTCCTCTAGAAAACACTCCCACGTTGACGGGACACCATGGCTTGTCGACTCAAGATAAAGTGGATGTGAGAGAGCACTGGGGGGTCTGCAGCCCAAAGGGGGCTCTTGTCTGTGCACTTCCGTCTCCCACACCAAGGGCACGTCTTCCCTCTGATGGCAGCAGATGATCTCAGCAGATGCCCAGAAAGCCAGTGAACTAGCATACCGTGGGAAATATTGCAGGTGGAACACTTGAGGTGTGCCAGTAAGCACAGAGGTGTTGCATGAGTTAAGGGACGGTTGGACCCATGGTTGGCTGGTTGATTTGGGATTCTGGCTTGATCACAGAGTAACTGGGTGACCTTGGACAAGTTAATTAGCTACTCTGGGCGGCCTCCAAATGGTGGGGCTGGCGAAGTGTGAGAAGTAAATACGTTAATACAAGTGAAGCACGTAGATTAGGGCCTGGTGCTTACTAATGAAAGCCACTCTTGTGATGATCCACCATGACTGTATCTCCTGTTCAGTTCTCACTGTTGCACGTGGCCTGGCTTCTTCTAAGACCTTTGCTTTCTCTGTACTTTACAGGTCAGCAGGTCCTGGGCTTGGTGGAGAACCAGAGTGACTGGTACCTGGGAAACCTGTGGAAAAATCACCGCCCTTGGCCTGCCCTCGGAAGGGGCTACAACACAGGTAAATCGTGAGGGTGGCGCCTGGCAGGCGTTTTGGAAGGTGATGTGAGGGTTCAGAGCTTCTTCTCTGAGGGAGGAAGCAGGCAAAGCACAGGAGGAGCCTGTGGCCTCCTGAATTCTGAGGTGGACGGTACCTACGCAGTTGACCTTCCAGTTCTTTCTTAGAGCCGCAACTACAGGCACAGTACCTATCGGACTTTGGCTGTCTGTGGCAGTATCACCAAAAAGCCCCTCTTCTGACTAACCTTGAGACCTAGATCCCATGGGGCTTTTTTAGGACTATGACCTGTAGGTTCCTTGGCTCTACTGATACAGAGATCATTCTGTAGTGACAAAGAACCCCAGCGTTTCAGCTTCTCAGCATGACAGAAGTTTATTTTCCTCACATTCCATGTCCGTGTGAGGCCTGCTGGATCTGTCTTCACCATAGGCAGTCAGGATTCATCTGGATTCATACTTCTTGTACAGGCAGGAAAGTAGCAGATATCCTATTGATTCTGAAAGTTTCTGGTCAGAAGTGACATAATTTCTGCTAATTATCTCAGTGGCGAAAGCATCTCTGTTAATGGTATCATTCATTCATTTATTCATTCTGTACTCAACAACTGTGTCTGGAGTTGCTAGGGTGTCCTAGACCCTGTGCCAGGTGGGCCATATATGGCCCCTGAACTCACAGAGTGTATCGATAAGGAGCTAGAGCGGCCTCCCTCTCCTTAAGCTCAGGCCTGTCAATGTCTGTTTGTCGCCGTGCTTCTGGATCCTTCTGCCCTTTCGCCTTCCTCTTTGCCACTGCTTTGGCACCCTGTTCTCAAAGGACGCAGACGTGTGACCTCTGTCAGGACTAGAAGTTGGAGCTCAGGGAGCAGTAGGTTCGGTCAGGCCCGGAAGGACCGGGACCTGGCATCTGAGACCAGCTGCACTAGGGTGGGGCGGGTGCCTGGGGGCGGTGCCACCCAAAGGGTCTTGGAGACTAAGGCCAGGCTGTAGGGGGAAGAGCCAAAAAGTCAACTCTGAGAGCTGAGGGTCAGACTCCACAGAGAGGTCAGGCACAAATACAGGGGCCCCAGAGGCCAAAGAAAAACAGAAGACAGTCAAGCTTCCAGAGGTGAGAGTTCAGAGATGGGGTCGTAGTGGGGTCAAAGCTGGAGGAGGACAAGGAAACAAAGGTTTGGAGTCAGTGTCCTGAGGAGCCATAGAGATGCCAGTCGGAGAGTGCTGTGAAGGCCACCCTTTGAGATGGGGGACACTCCTTAGCTGACATTTGCCAGAACATCCAGGCATGCCTCACTCTGTGTAATTTTTTCCTGTGACACCTTCCAGGCGTCACAGCCTGGAAGGGTTGCAACAGAAGAATTTTAACCAGCAGCCTTTCACACACCTCCTGGAGGCTACCCCCCGGCCCCCCAGCTGGGCGCTAATCCCTGAGTTGCTGGATGGTGAGGAAGTCTGAGGAACCCCCCAGAGGAGCCAGGCCGCTCTGAGCAGCAGCTCTCCATTAGCTGGTTTAGAAGTATTTTAATAATGGCTAAGGCAGTGTCTCTGCATCTCAGCCGAGTATGCACCGGGTACTTTCTAGATGTTAATCTTCTTTGATCCTCACACTAACCCACCAGGCAGGTGCTGTTCTTATCTCTGCTTTGTACACCGGAAACTCACGCTGAGAGAGATTGAGGCTCTAGTCTGATCAGTAAGGAGGATGCCTTGTTAACGACTAACCTTCCTAGCTGCAACTAAAGTAGCTTCAGGATCAAGAAACCGTCATAGAATCCCAGACTCTGTCTTTGAAGCATCCGGAGAGGGGGCCTAAGATTTGGCCCCCTAAGAAAGCCTCCAGGATGTTTCTGGAGCAGAAGGGTCTCCTCTGAAAGCTGGCACTCTGTTTCCCCTCCCAGCAAACCTTCCCAGGGGCTTTCTCAGTGCCTTTGAGGCTGGACCTTTAGGAACCCACTGTGGGGCCAATCAGATGTGTCTCCCCTCCGCCGCCGCCCCCCATACTTGCCTTTGGTCAGAGAATTGTGCCATGTTGATCTTTTGTCAAAGCCTGGATTCCCAACACATTCCCTCCAGGCTTTTGTAAAGCTGGTGACCCCCATGTTTGTTGGGTGGGAGAAGGGAAATCTCAGGTAAACTGTGGTGTGTGTTGAGTCTCTGTCTTCCTCCCAGAATAATAGACAACGTCACATAGAGATATACTGCAGTGTCTCGAGGACATGGCATCAGGGTCATAGTTATCTGTGAAAACCAAAACGCACTGGTCATCAATCTGGGTTTGCAGGGAGAAGAAAAATGGGGCACAAGGGGGATTTATTATGACAAAAATGACACATCCCCTCCTGCCTCTCCCATTTGACTCAGCGTGAGGTCAGGAGACAGACAAGGATCCAGACCACCTCCAGCTTCTACTCGCAATGCCAAAGGCAGTGAGTTACTTCCCTGCTCGCTTGTACTTAAAGTGCAGAGCAGATGAGGAAAGCCCTGAAAGAAATGATGTGTCCATTTAAATAAGCCACTGACACCAAGTGATCATTATAAAAGGATTTATGCGACATCAGAATGCATTGGCTTTCGTGATGGGGATTTGTTATTTTAAGACTCAGAACTGTAGCACACATCAGTGCATGGGTCATGCAGCTCTTAGATTCTCATGGAAATTGAGGACTCTGCAGGGGAGGGAGCCCGCTTGCCCTAAATCCCTGCATGGAGCAGGCCTCCAAAAGGGGTATCTCCAGCAAAGCCCCGTGCGGAGCCTTCAGCTTGGTGTGGGCAAAAGGTGGCAGATCCACACTGGAGTCGCAGTTCGGCCACTAAATGTCCACGTAGGTCTGGCCAAGATGGTTCACCTCCTTGAGTGAACCTTAGTCCTCTCCCTTGTACAGTAGGATAATAGTCCCTGGGGCGGGGGCATGACCAAGGTAACTAGGTCACAAGCCAGCTTCCACGGGCGCAAAACAAGGGCACAGTGCATCTCAGCCTCTGTCCTCTTGGGTTTTTTTCTGCCGCCTATCCTCTCAGGGAATGGAATCCATTCTCTGCTTTAAAAATGGTGGTTCTGTGAGGTTTGCTAAGGTCTTCAAAGCCCTCAGGTCAGGAAAAAGAAACAAAACACCTTTTTTGCTTTTCCTTAAATATAATGCAGCCACTTAGCACTTTCTCTCGTCTTTCTCCCCTATCTGGAAAAGGTTGCCTTTTCATATTATTTTAGAAAAAGGGCTGATTTTACTTCATATATCAGCTTCCTGACTGTGTTTTACTTTGAAAAATCCCCGGGGGGCCGGGGAAGTGGGGAAGCATAAGATGTTTAAGTTGAAAAATCTGCCTTCAAGAGGTAACTTTTTGGCTTTGTTCCTTTTGGACAGCTACTCCAGCTCTCTGAGCCTTGGGTCTCTCTGTGAATGGAGAATGATAAGCCCACCCCCACCCCAGCCCTTTGTGAGGCTCCCCTCTGGTAGTGGAGCTCCAAGAGCCTGATAGACCAAAGTACATTAGAAAGGGGGTTGTAACGTGTTTATTTCTCTTCCTGACCACAGCCTGGCTGAGCAACTGTTTTCAAGTAATTTAGATTCAGCCCCATTGATCAAGTGTATTTCCTATGTATTATCTTCATTAATTCCTAGAACTGCCTTGCCTGGTAGACACTCTCCTGGAAATAGCCAGCCAGCTTCCTCTGTCCCCTTCTTGGTTTTCCTTCCCAGTCTGCTAGCACAAAGCCCACAGGGCCTAAAAGATTAAAGAAGATCTGCTCACCATCTCCCACCCGCTCCCCTCCCTTCTTATGGGAGCCGTGCACAACTTAATTCCATCGTCACAGAACTGCTAGACCCCGGCAGCTGCAGATGAGCGGGTGGCCCCCGGCTCAGGGCCCTCGCCATAAGCGTTCAGATGGAATTAACGGGCACGTCCCACAGCCTTGCACAGAGATGGGTTCATCCCCGACCGCTCTGTCCATCTACCATCTAGGTGCCGGAACCTGTCATTCAGCCAGCATTCAGCTGTTTGCAGGACTTTTTTTTTTTAATAAGATTATGACAGGTTCATTAAAACTCAGCCCACTTTCAGTTCCTACGCTGATGGTGAAAATCTTCAAAACAAACACCAGCAAAGAAGAGAAGGGGAAGGAAAGCTACAGGTAGCAGGTGACCAGAGATGATGGGGTAAGGGAAGGCAGGCCAGTAGAAAGGAGATGGCTGCCTTACAGAGAGGTGTGTTCGCGTACGATCCCAAAGGTTACTCAAGGACGAGATGCGTCCTCCCCGAATTGAAGGACATCACATTAACCAGAGGATGTGCTTTAAGAAACTATTTAAAAATAAAATGTATCCCATTCCTTTCAGTCTCCAAAGTAGGCCAGAGACCCGACAGATGGAGACCTGGCTCTCCAGGGAGGGAGGAAGAATTTCTCTAGGAATCCTTTTCCACAGAACAATAAAATGGGGACATGCAAGGACTGACTCACCTCTGAGGCTGGAGGAAAGTGGAGAAGGAGAAGCTGGATGCCACGGTGATTCCATGGCAAGGATTCAAAAGGAGCCTACATTTGACCACTTGCCAAAGAACTGCTAAACACATAGCTCTCGTGGGCTGACCAGAAGTGTGTGGGATGCAGGCTGACCCTTTGCTCTGCCCCCGACATCCAGCTTTCTGCAGCCCTAGGCGAGTCCCTCCATTTCCCAGAACCCTCCTTGTCTCTTGGCTCAAGAACCAAGAACTGTTTATGCTCTGAAGAAACATCGTATTGGTTGATTTCTGTCCGTAGTAATTGCATCCAGAGAAACTAGCTTTAGATGTAGTTCATTCATTCAGCACCTGCTACTGAATGCCTACATTCTGGGTAGAAAAAGATTTTTTAAAAATGAGTGCTACCAAGAACCTTCCTTTAGGAAGATTGCAGTTTAGTGGAGAAGAGTTTACATATCCACAAATGAACTTAGTGTGACTTGAGCCCCTGGAATAATCGAGATTCGGAGTTGAATGCCAACCTTGGAATAAACCCAGACCGGCATT